TATATATATATATATATATATATATATAATCTAAAGTTTGCTTTTGAATCACTAGCAATTAAGTACCTTTTATTTAAAAAGAGAAAGACATTTCTTATACCACTAGCCCCCCCAAGCAAAAAATAAAAATATTTTATGCTTAATATTATATTGTGTTCCTTGATTCACTACTTAACATCACACATAATTTTCTGCAGAAATATCTATTTATATCACTACGTAAAAGATAATCACTACCTGTAAAAGGCTAATTCCATTTGTCATTCTGTCACTTACAATGGAAGTATACTTGTGAAAATAGCAAGAAGACCTCAGGAAATATAACTTCTGCTTTACACTCAATTGCAGATATTTGCTTTTTCCTTTATCTATGAGAGCTTCTTCTTGTATTGGCAGTGTTGAAGCTGAGCAAAGCTTTTCTTGTCTTTGAAGAATCCATTCATGATTACAAACAACAATGCGTGTGCCCAGAATGGGAAATCTTAGTGTTATTGCTATGCATGCATTTTCTATGAGCAATTTTGGAATCACAAGAGAATATATAGCAAAAAACTTTATTGAACTTCATCCTTGATGTATGAATTTTAGCAATATACTAAGTGCTACAAATTAATTTCTTTTTAACTTTTTTGGCTTGTTTATCTACTTGTTTTTAGTTTTGTTAAAATTAACTGTTAAAGCGTGTGAATTTCTCTAGCTTTATGCAAATATATAAATACAAAAAATATTGAATATTTTCGTATTTAAGCAGGTAGCGACCCCCCTTGACAAAATCCTGGTGGAATACCTGGCCTAGCTCTTAATTTTGGTTTATATACCTTCCACATATGAAATGAAACAGATTATAAACTCTAATTTTTGAGTTGTTATGATTTTATGCATATCTAGGAGAAAAATAATAAGACATTTTATTCCAGTTTGTAATAAAGCATTTTGTTTCTACTATTTATAACTTATATAAACAGTAACTACTCCTAGTAACTGTCAGTGTAAAAAAACGTTTAACAAAAGCTACTGGCAACATGTTTTCATGTTGTACTGATTTTGGCTGGTTTGAGAGATGATAGTTTACAAAGCCAGAGAAAAGTAACTCAAAAACCCCGCATACAAAGGAGATGAAATGAATATAAAAAACTTATTGTGAAATAATACAGAAACTTTACTCTAATAGTAGAGCTAAAACTTTACATAATAAATATTTTACATTTAAAGTGGTTATTCATTATTCAAGCACATTTCACACAAATCCTCAGGAAATAACAAGAAAGTTTTGAATCAAACAGATAAGCTGAAACTGGATATAGAAATATAATCAGTTAAGTTCCTCACCCAGCTGTGCCTGTTGAGGTTCTGCCATTTGAATTAAAGCATTGTCCTTTTTGTTAAACAAAATCTTGACCCGTATAACATCACCATACACTCCTGCACAAATGATATTATACTGGTTATGAAATTAATTGCATTTAATCAACAATATATATTTTTTACTGAATAAGTTAATTAGAAAAAAAAGCATTTTGAAAGTGGTATATAGTTTTAAAACATACAGGTTATCTCTAGGATTGGCTTATATTCATAAGTTATGTTTTATGTTAACCAATACAGCATAGTATAAAAAATAATCTAACAAAAATACATGCAAGAAAATAATGAACTTTTATTAGTAGGTATGTGTTATTTAATAACAGAAAAATATGGTAGATATTTCACTGATTTAGGTTCACAACTGTGAATGTTTGCTTTGAGGCAGTATCGAAATGTATCATATAATTGTATTTATACATATAAGTTAGTAATCAAGTCAAAATCAATTATCAGGAATATTTGTGGAAAATACAGTGACCTAAATCTACTGTTAAATAACTAAACTTCATATTAACATAGGAAAATGTAATTTTTGTACCTTTACATAAATATAATTATAAGAGTAATAATTAATGTTACAATATCCAGTATTTCAATTAAAATCAGCTATTCTGAATAAGTGCCTTGATGTACCAGCAGATTAAAGAAGAATATGAAGAGGAAAAATAAAATAAAGTAGAATGCTGATTCAAAAGCCATACCAAAAAGGATAAAAAGAGCTTCTGGTGTGATCATCTATGGTCAGAGCAACACATGGACCAAGAAGAGTAAAAGGACGAACAGATCGATGCACAAGTCCACATGGAAAACATCAACAGGCCAAGTGTGTAAGAAGAAAAACAAATTAAAGTATGAATTACACAGTACTGATCAGAAAGTGTCTTTTATCATTATTATTTGGAATTAGCAGAGACAGAACATAAAAAACGTTAAAAGCTAGAAAGATACAAACCTTGTGAAGTTAATGCCCTAACTAATGATAAACATGTGGCTGTTATATAAATTTACTAATATTTTCTTACATATATGGTTTAATATAAGGTTAATACTTTACAATACTGTAATAGATTAATATTTCTTTTCACTAACTCTATTTAATGTTTATTTTTATTTGTTGTTTATAATTAATAATATTCACCATCTATTTTAGTGCAATTAGTTACATCAATTTGTACAACAGCATAAAGTAAACAGAGAAATGAATTTATTATTTTTGCTATATAATTTGACAGGGAATAAAAACTTAAATGCTTCTATGAAATATACAAAAATTATGTAAACAGTGTTAGCCAGCTCACCAGTATTGAAACATTGTTAGCCAGTTCACCAGCATTAATTTAGTTTGCATTTTTAATTTTAGTTACAGTCATAGTCAAGTTGACAAAAACCTTTTTACGATTTTAGTCATAGTCAAAGTTACAAAAACCATTTGGAAGTTTAGTCTAAATCTTAGGGGGTGGATGGGGGTAACTTCATCACAGTATTAGCCTGATCAACTAAAATGGTCAGATATTTAGTCTAGTTTTATAATCCATATAATCTATAGAAGTTGTTTTCATCACAGTCTTAATCTAGTCATCTAAAATAATCAAATATTTAGACTAGTCTTAGTCTATGGAAGTTGTCTTGATCACAGTCTTAGACTAGACTTGACCATTTTAGTCAAAATTAGTCTAGCCCTATAGTCTACAGATGGTATCGTCATCATAGTCTTAGTCTATGGAAGTTGTCTTGATCACAGTCTTAGACTAATTGACTAAAATGGTCAAGTATTTAGTCTAGTCCTATAGTCTACAGATGGTATCGTCATCATAGTCTTAGTCTATGGAAGTTGTCTTGATCACAGTCTTAGACTAATTGACTAAAATGGTCAAGTATTTAGTCTAGTCCTATAGTCTACAGATGGTATCGTCATCATAGTCTTAATCTAGTCAGTTAAAAATCGAATATTTAGACTAGTCTTAGTCTATGGAAGTTGTCTTGATCACAGTCTTAGACTAATTGACTAAAATGGTCAAGTATTTAGTCTAGTCCTATAGTCTACAGATGGTATCGTCATCATAGTCTTAATCTAGTCAGTTAAAATAATCAAATATTAGACTAAATGTTTGACCATTTTAATCAATTATACTAAGACAATAAAACAGACAACATCCATGGACTAAGACTAGTATAAATATTTGATTATTTTAGATGACTAGATTAAGACTATGATGACGACACCATCTGTAGACATTAGGATTAGACTAAATACTTGACCATTTTAGTCAACTAGTTTAAGACTGTGATCAAGACAACTTCCATAGACTAAGACTAGTATAAATATTTGATTATTTTAACTGACTAGATTAAGACTATGATGACGACACCATCTGTAGACATTAGGACTAGACTAAATACTTGACCATTTTAGTCAACTAGTTTAAGACTGTGATCAAGACAACTTCCATAGACTAAGACTAGTCTAAATATTTGATTATTTTAACTGACTAGATTAAGACTATGATGACAATACCATCTGTAGACTATAGGACTAGACTAAATACTTGACCATTTTAGTCAATTAGTCTAAGACTGTGATCAAGACAACTTCCATAGACTAAGACTAGTCTAAATATTTGATTTTTTAACTGACTAGATTAAGACTATGATGACGATACCATCTGTAGACTATAGGACTAGACTAATTACTTGACCATTTTAGTCAATTAGTCTAAGACTGTGATGAAGACAACTTCCATAGACTAAGACTATGATGACGATACCATCTGTAGACTATAGGGCTAGACTAAATACTTGACCATTTTAGTCAACTAGTTCCATGGACTAAGACTAGTCTAAATATTTGATTATTTTAACTGACTAGATTAAGACTATGATGACGATACCATCTGTAGACTATAGGACTAGACTAAATACTTGACCATTTTAGTCAATTAGTCTAAGACTGTGATCAAGACAACTTCCATAGACTAAGACTATGGACAGATGACGATACCATCTGTAGACTATAGGACTAGACTAAATACTTGACCATTTTAGTCAATTAGTCTAAGACTGTGATCAAGACAACTTCCATAGACTAAGACTAGTCTAAGTCCTATAGTCCATGTATGTTGTTCTTATCGTAGTCTTAATCTAATTGACTAAAACAGCAAAATATTGTAGTCATGCCTTAATTTTCTGCATATTATTCAAAGGTAGAGCCAGAACAATGGTAATTCCACATACATAACAAAGTCATATAAATAAATAAATCAGAAATGTGAGGTTTATGATAATAAAGCAGAATATGTAAAGCATTTTTGCACAAACCAAAACATTTTCTCAAAAGGCCTCGGTCAGTTAGCTAGCCAAATTGTAAATAAAACTAATAGATTAATGAAGTATTAACCTTATTTAGAGAGAATTCTAGTTTAGTGTACCTGAAGAACTACAAATACTAAGAAACATTAGATAAGAAAATCTGAACTAAATTTTTAAGCAATAGTAAAAAGAGTATTGATGTTAACTAATGATAGGAAATTGAATTTTATACAGCTGTGATGCCTGTTTTTTGCAAACATGAGCAATACACATTCAGCTTCTTGTATATTGAAACAAAAAAAAACACAACAAATCTTAGCAATGTGATTTTTTTTTACTTAGTGATAAAGAAAAAAATTATTTCTAAAAATAATGGATTTTGACAGTCTTCCTCTATGTGTATTAAATATATATATATTTAGATTTACTTCTAATTTTAATTTTCATCAAGATAGTATTGTGTTAGTCATCAGTTTCTCAACAACTGTTCATTGTTGTCTTCAACAAAATATTTAAACAATTTTTGTCTGTCTTTTTAATACCAAGCATGTTGGCTCTTTGTCATACTAGCAATTTTCATCTCTTCACATTGTCATTATTGGCTAAATTTAAAATTAACTCATCAACAAGTATGTTTGTCAATGAAAATCAACACCACATTTATCCAAGATCATACCAGGTAGTCACACACATTCATCCAAGATCCTGCCAAGTAGTCACACACACACACACATCCTGTACTAAAGTATTAAAGAATGACTGAAACATTTTGAGTTTATTCATAAAGATATGATTATATAAGTTATCTTTCTAGGGATAATACAGCTTTGCAGACATGTTAATGCTAAATAATGACTTTGATCTTTGGCAAAGCTCTCTTGGTGGAGGTATAATTAAATGTTTGATACCATCAAAACCTGGCTTCAACCTTAGGCAAATCTATCAGGTGGAGATATGATTAAATGTTTCATTTTTCAGAAATGTGACTCTTTACAAGTGGAGACAAATGACAGTGCCCAAGTGAGAAGTCCAGGGAGACATTTTCTCCTCCTCCCCTTGCTGAAATTGATATTAAGCATGTTTTGGCACAATAAAATGCATTTTCAGATATGTTTGAAAGAGGATTATACACGGGAGACCACACCACTTCTGTACTAGGTATGCTCTTCATCCAGATGTGGTAACGGTTGACAAATCTGGTGGAAAATTATGAGTAGCCAATGGGAGAAAAAACAGTTGGACAATGATCCTAAACAAAATATATTAGAATTTTAATCTCCCTGGTGAACAAAATGTGGTTAAAATAAGGGATGTGCCCCAAGGTGTAGAGTTGTGAGGGCACGACGGACCATACACATCAAGTCAACTGTGTCTAAAACTCAACCACCAGGAACTGACATCCATGCGGGGGTAGGACAATAGGACAAGGATCATATCGTCAGTAAGTAAACTACAATGCAAAACTAAACAGCAGGGAACCAACATCCATGCAGGGGTAGGAAAGAGAATAATACCATCTTCACTTCAAGTTCAGTCAACCGGAGGTAGAAATCTCATAACCAATCTGTGAACATGGCACATGTGAGCAGAATGAAATACATATATATATATACCACTCAAATCAAACAGACTGGAACCACCTGAAATGCAGTAACATCCTTGGCATAAAGACATTGAGGGGTAGCACAAAAGGAAGAAGCAGAGCAACCAACAAGTGCACCCACCATGACACAACACTGGGGTAGTGCACTCGAGGCAAAGTAAGTGAGGGATCAGGAACACCCAGATCACATGTATGATGACTTATGTTGATTGGTTCAGCTCTAAATCCAAAATTCAACCACTGGGAACTGACATCCAAGTGGAGATAGAATGAGGGATCCCAATCGAAGGGGTGAACTGCATTGGTTCAGCTCTAAATCCAAAACTCATCTACTGGGAACTGACATCAATGCAGGTGAAGGATGAGGTATCCCAGTTGGCACAACATGAGTGTGGACAATATGTTGATTGGTTCAGCTCTAAATCCAAAACTCAACTGCTGGAGACCAACTTCCATGTGGGGGTTGGATAAGGGATCCCAATCATTATGACAGCACACTCCAAAGCTGCAACATTTCCATGGACAAACCTGTGCAGAGATAGAGAATCCACTTAGAGGACATCTACTCATCTACACCAGCAGAACACCACCTCCCTGCTCTCAACTGAATGGAGTCTATATTGTTTATATTGTATATCTTTCATTCAGGAGCATACCTCCATGGTCCACCACACCAGTGGCTTGGAACTGGAAAGTGGTAAGGACTCTCTTACTAAACTGGAAAAAACAGGAGAGAAAATGCAGTGTTGAGTCCAAAGGAACATTCACAACAGAGACAGTGCAATGGGTAACCACAAAATACTATTTTGAAAAGCAAACCAAACCTAATTTATACAATCTAAGGAATGGTAGGGATGGGCAGCAATCACCCTCTGCTTTACCCACGACATTCATGGGTTAGTATGGTCTGGAACGGGCATATTTATGAAGCAAATATATCATGAGGAAAACCTATGAGCAATCTTATGGAACAACCCATCTCTAGTTTATGTGATTGTAAAGAACAGTGTGCATTTTGTGGTCATTGAATTATGAAAATGAAGTCAACATGGCTTTAAAGTGCAGGTTTTAGTACAATTCTAAGTGATTAAAGTATACCTAACAGGCACCACTTATCACAGAGCAGGATCCTGGTTAAACCAAGGGACAGACCCCTGAAAATATATACACAACAAAAGAAAAAACCTACCCAGTTACAGTCTCACTGAAGAGTGAAAGATGGCGATAGGTGGAGGACAGTACCCCGAGAAGCAAGAAACAGCTACCCATACTAGATAATGGGAGATGAACGTATGAGGTTCAGTCCCAGTGCTCAACAGATGAAGTACCTCCAACAAACGACGGGGTTGAGATGCTGGAAAAAGGTAAGGTGCCTGACTGGAGTGAAAACACCAGGAACTGATTACAGGAAGAAGGAGGCAAGGTCAACCAAATCACAAGCCACAAGGAAGAAGGGAAAAAATCACGAACAGAGGAGTGGAAAGGGAATGAAACTGTGGGAAATGGAGTCAACAGAAAGAAGCCTTGAAAGCAATGAAGCAACCAGAGCATGTATAGAACAAAGTCACCCAGATCTGACTGAGAATAAAGGTGGAAGATGACAAGAAACAAACTGATGAAAAGACTGACAGAATGAGAAAACTAAAGTTATAAAGTGGATCTAATCCTGTCTGATTGTATTGACAGCAAGGGCAAGCATATGATAAACTGGAGCCCAAAAATAAAAGAGATAATTTGGAATTGAGAAAGGAGTCAAATGCTTCCTGTGGAGAAGTACCCCACAGAAGGCAGAGCCATTGAAAATTTGAGGATTGAGAGGCCAATTCTTGGAAGAAAGTGTGTTGGGACTGGAATGGCAATCTGCAATGAGGATGAAAGCACATGGAACATGACACACTAGGACACGTAGGTCAAATGTGTGATGCAAACAAAGGGAGATCACTGTCTACTGTCTACAACAAAAGAGGAGTGTGCCCTTGGTGAGTGAAGCCATCACCATCGAACAGTCAGAATGAAACATGATTAGTCAAATCCAGACAAGAGGAAGAAAGTGAACTAAAGCATGTTGGACTGCTGGAAGTGCCAGGGCATTAACATGGTAAGACATTTAGTCCATAGACCATTGTCCTGAAGCCTTCAGCTGATCCACCCACACCCCCCAACTTTGGAGAAGAGGATCAGGGATGAGAAACAAATCCAGATGAGTGGAGAGAAAGCAGTAAACCAGATGATGTGGAGGATATGTTAACCCCCAATGCATATATTCAAAGAGAGAAAAAGAGGAAAGTGAAAAGGAGAATCCAAAACCCTACCATGGGTCATGCAGCGTCTCCTTAAAAGAGCGCAAATGTGCTAGACCCAAAGGGAGAAGTGCTTCCATAAAAACCACATCCACCAATGCATTAGAAACTCGCTAGCAGTAAGATATTAACCATGATGGTGTGGATAACAGAAAGCTCCAACAAATGCAGCCGAGACACTCTATAAATAGACAATTGTTAGGTAGGTAACAGAAAAACTTATCCAACTAGAAAATCCAACCACCTGAGGTGTGTGTGCAAGCAGATGAATATGTTATGACCACTCCATTTGGTAGGAGCTAACTAAAGCCAGATGTCCAAATAGTGGTTTTAGTAAAAAAAATGCAGAAGTTGGGTAAATTGCAGATCACCTGACAAAAGACATACAGAACCGAAACAAGTACAAAGGGCAAGGCATGAAATTGGAACCAAATTATGTGGTAAAAAGAAATAACAACCTAAGATAGTGTCCCGAGAAATGAAAAATAAGAACATGTACCATGGGAATTTTCAGTCCTACAGAAATTGCCCACCTGATTATGATGAAAGATATACATTAAAACTGGGAAGAACCAAGAAGTGATTGACCAGACCGATCAATCCAGAACCACAATCAGCATCAAGCATACACGAAGAATGGAAAACCCATACGTATGACAGGTAAAGAACAGGAAGGTGCCAGACATGAAATATGTATAAAGGTGGCAATGTCATAGAATGAAACAAAAAAGCAACTAAAATATATAGAATATAGTGTCACAGAAATCCCACATGAGCTAAATGCACAGGATTAACCCCAAAAAATGGACCAGTGGAGAAAAGAGCCAGCAGTAAGTCCCCATTAGAAGTAGATGGTAAACAAATGGTACGAGACAGTGTCCCACCCCAGAAGAACCTAAAAGCAAAGAAGTCACGTGTTGGGGGAAAGAACTGAAGATGACAAAAACCCCAACATGGAGTGTAGGAGGAGGAAGTGTCCAACAAAATTCCCCTAGATATAGGTGGAATGCCTAAGAAAGGAGGTGGAAGGTAGACATTTCCTGTAGGAGAGTTGATAAAGTAAAATGAAGCTGGAAAACCAGGTAGTGGATAAAATGGATAGGATGAACAGAGATATTTCCCATACAGGCAACAGATTCGAAGTACATAAAATCAAGAAGAAAATCTGCCTGATGGTAAGCTAAGGCAAATTGAACCAAAACCTGTATAGCACAAGGCATGCAAGTACCCTATCCCAAAAGAAAGACAAAAATTTTCCTCATGAAACATAATGTCCAGAGAAAGAGTGGGAAATTATACTGCGAAACGTGTCTTAGAAAAAAAAAAAGCTGAGGTAGACCTAGCAGATTCTGCAGTATAGGCTTGGGAAGGGGAGCCATAATCAGGTGGAGGAAAACTGACAAAATCTAGGTCATCCTAAACAGGTTCAGCAGTTGTAAGAGGAAGGCAAGCAATATCAGGAGAAAGTAGGACAGACCCAGACCCCCCAGGGTTCCACACAAGCTAAAATAATTGTAAGAAGTATAAATTATAAAAAATTATGAAAATGAAATAGTCGATATAATGTAAATTTATGTAAGTGTGTAGTGAAACAAATATATGTATTAGATGTTATGTGTTGAAGAAAACAAGATACTTACCCTAATTATCAACTTACCCAAAAGATGAACTACAGGTAATCCAAAAATAATAGACACTTATTAAGCCTAATCAAACTGTGCAGGACAAAATATATCACTAAACTCTAATTCAAAAAACCCTAACTTAAGAATAAGTATGTACAATATCAGGAGAAGAAGTTTGTGCAGACCCTAGCTCCAGAAGTCCACACAAACAAAGTTAATATGAAGAAGTATAAAAGATTAGTTATTATATTTAGAAATGGTAAGAAAATCCATAACAACTGTCAGTCTAATGCTGGGCTTGCAAGAGCTATACTTGGTGTTTAATCAGTAATCTGGAGTTTCAAAAGCAAAATTCATGCTTAATCTGAAGACTCTAAACCTGCACAGTACCTGTTCATTTAGGTTGCTGGAAAGGAGGACACAGCCGACAACTGGCTGTCCAGGTAGCCGAATCCCAGAGTAACCCAGGAACGAAGAGGAAGTGACAGTAGGTGGTAGGGCAAATCTACCAAAGGGGATTGCTAGAGAGTTTTCAATATATGCATAAGAAAGTAATATGTTGTAAACAGTAAATAATCAGTTACAGCTGAATTGTTAATGTTTGAAGACATCTTAATAATCTTCCAAATATTGAGATTTTAACTCTAGAAAACTATTTTTCTTGTACTTATTTCAATTTTGAGTGAAAGATTATTTCCGAATCCCTGCCTTTACTATATTGTTAAGGAATATTTTACATTTTTAAGGCTGTTCTATTATATCAGAGAAATCCAGAGTGCAATTATGAAGAAATTATGTATACAAGTAATGAAAAATGATAAATACATTTATGTTTTGAGAAGAAAAGCACATGAAAAAAGGCAGCTACAGTTATGAATTTATAAACATATCACTGATTGATTTCTAATGTCATTTTAAATTAATTTATAATTAAAAGAATCAAAACAAAAGTAGCTATGATCTGAGTTTTTCGGCTTATATCTTTAATTTAAAGACTAACAAGCCACTTTAACTCTTTCAAACTCAGAAATAGTTGGGGTAGGTTCCTTTAATGTTTAAAGTGAAATATCAAAAATGTTAAATGTATAAGCAATTGTTTTAAAGCTAATAAATCTTACCTCCATAACCAGATGCTAGAGGAGAAGCAAGACCTGATGCAGGGTTGAACAGAGATGCCATGGAACCTTAGTTACAATAAGTATTTTTGTCAGTGTTAATAATTTGTCCTGACAAATTTATACTAAAAGTATACACTTTTATCATAAAATGCTTTTCTTTCTATCAAATATTAAAATGCAGCTTTATAAAAACTAGCTCAAAAAATCTGGTTCAAGTTACAATCACAAAACTAGCCTCAGCTTTTTTCTTGTAAGGTAGCATTTGTTTTGAAAAATCTGGTTCAAGTTACAATCACAAAACTAGCCTCAGCTTTTTTCTTGTAAGGTAGCATTTGTTTTGAAAAATCTGGTTCAACATGTAGTGAGTGCATTAACATGTACAATACCTGCTAAATTATTTCCATGTACCTCTTACAAATATTCATGTATAGCAATTAGTAAGCATACTGAGCACTTATAAACAAAATACAACAGTTTAAATTTCACTATGTTTAACAAAATGTGTTACAATTGATAAGAAAAATAAGGCTGAAAAGGAAAGATTAAGATAGTTCTTAAACTTTATATTTTAATGTTACTATTTAGCATGTATACAACTTCTAAACAGCATAATAACATTATATATAAAAATGTGAAAACAAAGCTAAACTCTAAAATAAATTATCAAGCATATACCTGCTCTGTGAAACACAATAACATTATAAGTGCTTCTAATTTAAATCAGAAGATCATCGTGGCTTTGATCACGTGTCCACGAATGTGATGATTGAAACACGTTCTGTATAAGAAATAGAGCTAAGTAAATTTACATCCTGCCGCAGTTCATGTGTATATGTAATTCAAGGTAGAAAAAGCTGGCCTATACTTTCATAAAGAATGCTTTCAAACACTTCCAACATAGAATAACAACCTAGAAAAAAAAACCTCAAGCTGAATAGCTACCATATACAGATCGAAAGAAGATCACATGATACACTATTTAAATTCTGCAAAGGAAAATACAATGGAAAATAGGAACATGAACAACCAAACTCAGGCACAAACAAAAATCTATTCATATACATTGTGCTCAAACAAAATTACAAAAATGAGGGAAATTTTGGAGTTTGGTTCAAAAACAAAACACCACATTCTTATTAGAAACCCACCTATTTGCTTGTTTCAGGATTTTTGTGGAAAGCTATACAGGGTTATCTATACCTAACTGTCCATAAATTTGAACTGACAGACTAGAAGGAAGCTACTTTTGTAAGACTGAATAGTAGAATTTGACAGTCATTCCTATAGCTTACCAAAGGCCCCAAAATGTGGAAAGTATTTCTGGGACAATGGAACATGATCCAATTGTTGTCATTGTTGTTTTACCACAGAGAAACACAATTGGTTATATGTGCTCTGTCCACTGTGTGGAATGAAACCATGGACTTCAGTATTGTAAGTCTGCAAACTTACTCCACCAGAGATCCAACTGATTGGAAATATTAAACAAGCTCAACTTAACAGTTAAATAAAAACTTCTAAACTTACCACAACCACACTCTCAGAGCATCTGAACTCTGAGGAAATGCAGCTGTCACATTCTCCATCACTTTGATATGTGGTTATGTTATCACATCCACTGATTTAAACTTACCACAACCACACTCTCAGAGCATCTGAACTCTGAGGAAATGCAGTTGTCACATTCTCCATCACTTTGATATGTGGTTATGTTATCACATCCACTGATTTAAACTTACCACAACCACACTCTCAGAGCATCTGAACTCTGAGGAAATGCAGTTGTCACATTCTCCATCACTCTGAAATGTGGTTATGTTATCACATCCACAGATTTAAACTTACCACAACTACACCCTCAGAGCATCTGAACTCTGACAAAATGCAGCTGTAACATTCTCCATCACTCTGAAATGTGGTTATGTTATCACATCCACAGATTTAAACTTACCACAACCACACCCTCAGAGCATCTGAACTCTGACAAAATGCAGCTGTAACATTCTCCATCACTCTGAAATGTGGTTATGTTATCATATCCACTGATTTAAACTTACCACAACCACACCCTCAGAGCATCTGAACTCTGAGGAAATGCAGCTGTCACATTCTCCATCACTCTGAAATGTGGTTATGTTATCACATCCACAGATTTAAACTTACCACAACCACACCCTCAGAGCATCTGAACTCTGAGGAAATACAGGTGTCACATCCTCCAACTGTCACTTTGAATGTAGCTACAATATCACATCCACTGCATATACATATTAATCACTGCCTACAAACAACATAAAAAAATTGTACTGACAAAAACTAAATGTCAGTATATAAAACAAACATTGTTTTAAACATTTTTATAGAAAATAAATAAAAACTCCTTATCTTTAGCATGAAAATGAATAATAACAACAGAAATTTCTTTTGTAAACCAATCTATTTTCTCCTGTATTTATAATGAGAAAAATTGTAGGATTTCTGGATTTTCACAGATTTGTATGAAAACTAAATGAACCACTTGTTATAACATACCTGCTATTCCCATAGAATCTAAAGTTGGGTCACCACTCATCAAATTTGGGTTTGTGAAGTCCCTGCTTTTCTCATTGTTATATTTAACATTTAAGTTGGTCAGTTTGGAGTACTCAATTCTCAGAGTGCAGCAGGCATTGTAAATGTTCTGTCCGTTCAGAGTCTGCCAAAGTTAAATTCAAAGAGCCTTATAAACTTATATTATTATACTTAAAATACAAGCTAAAAAAACCAATTTTTGAAACATGTATAAAAAGGATTTATAAAGGATAACCTGATAGAAATTACTTTGTTCGAGATCTGAAGAAGATTCACGTAACGTTTCTCCAACAGAGAAACCTTCCAGTAGGTTGTGCATCGTAAATACAAATTACCAACTGATCATGAACTTCAAATAATTTTATAAACATTCTGTTCATTCAGATTCAATAAGGTTCTGGAGAAAACAGGTCTTATAGAACTGAATACATGTGTTTGTGTGTTTCAATACTTAAAACATACTTACCTCCTATACCAATATATAGTGTTAAAAGTGACAACCTATATATATATATATCATTGCATATTTCTTTTGGTGGTGGGAAGAATGTTTTTCTCTTTTAAGTTTTGTTTTACTACATCATTAGTGATAGGTTGCCATCTTAATACTATATATATATATATATATATATATATA